CTGCAAATCTTAATACCTGAACAGTTCATAATAGGAGAAATAGTCCATAAATCAGGAGTGCACCATGTCCATCAGTTTAAGAGTTACTGAAGATGTTGCATGACATGTTAAGGCTCACACTCTAAAAGTGAGATCAAGACCCATTTTAGATGGACATAATTTAATGGGCAAAACCTGTTATCTTAAGAACTCATTTTGCCCCTTAATCTCACTTCAGAACTCAAAAAGGACAATGGAGAGGCAGCCACAAGAAAGGCTGTGGATGTCCCTAGGCCTCACTACTGCTCTACTACCTCTGCCCTAAGCTATTTAGAGCTTTAATGGTTAATATCAATATCTTAATTTGTGCCCAGTAAGCAGTTCATAACTAATGCAGACCTTTTTGTACAAACACTGTATTTATTTGATTTTATTTTCAAACCCATATGTACATATAGTATATACTTACATTTTTTCCGCGCAGCAGTTTTAGAAAGTATACATTTTTTGTTAATTTTTTCCCCAAAGCTTTTGAAATTCTTCATCCACATCATATTATCCTTCAACTAGTTTATAGTCTGGCTACCACATTTTGTCCTAATGACAACACCCTGACATGTTTTAAGATTATCGTCCAAAGCTGTCCCTATGTAGGCAATCTGCAGAATTTCAAAGGGAAAGATATAGGAGTCAGAAGAGTTACACTGAATCTTTAAAAACTGGAGTTTTTTGTTTGCTTTCTAATATTTAATGCTAATTGCTCTGTTCCTTTTATATTCTTCCCAAAAATACTGGGATTGCAATTAAATCTTTAAAAAATTGCTTCTTTGTGAAAAACAATCAGTCCCAAAAAGTATACCTTAATTTGTATTCAGAAGTAAACTGAGAATTCATACACTTACTTTAAATCTATTTATGTACACCTAGGGCTAGCAAGCTACCTATTAATTTTTCCATTATCTAAAACTGGGAGGTCACGAGGCTGTGAGTGACTATGAGCAGAGCCCCCTGGTCCAGGACTGGGCGCAACTGACACATAATCCAAAGCTGTACAAAGGCCCTCCTAGCTGCAGCTGCCACCTGCTCCTCAAGCAGGAGCTGCAAGTTCCGGAGGACCCCCATATTGTGCATTGGGTCTTTCTGGGGCAGTGCCACCCCATCCAGAACCAAAGATGGAAGATCCCTATAACCAGTAGATCCAAAAACCTAGAGCCATTCAGTCTTGCTTGGGTTGAACTGAAGCTAAGCAAGACCGAGTGGCTTTGGGTTTGAGACCTACTTTGAGTTGAGCTGAAGCTTGTTGAGCCCCATCCACACCCCCACAGCTGCCATGCACTGAGGCAGAACCTCCATGGCATCACTCAGATAATCTGGGCTGAAGATATAAAGCTGAGTATCATCAGTATGCTGATCACCCCAAACCATTGGATGACCTTACCTGTGGCTCCCCACAAAGGAGGGGCTGCTGGATGGACTTCTCTCCCCCCGACTGGAACCAACCCTGGAAGAAGGAGAACAAGCATAACACCATGCTGCCCACCACAACTGTCAGAGCCACCTCAGAAGGATACCATGATCAGTGGTATCAAAGGCCACCCCATCCACGTCGTGTTCCTGCCAGAGTCTTCCAAGAGTGCTATCAATGCTGCTCAGTCCCATACCCAGACCTGAACCCTGACTGAAAGGGATCCAGATAATCCAGTTCTTCCAGCATCCTCTGAAGCTACAGCACAACCACCTTCTCTACAAAGTTCCCCAAAAAGGGAAGGTTAGAAACTGGTTGAATTGTCTAGGATGGTGCCATCAAGCAATGGCTTCTTGCAAAGGTTACCAACCACCATCTCCTTAAGAGATAGCAGGACCACCCCTTACCTCAAATAGGAATTAAACACTACCAGAACCCAACCACACATCCCTTCTTGCGCAGCCTTGACCAGCCAGCAGGGACATGGATTTAATACAGAGGTGGCCGAACTAACAGCCCTGAGGACTCATGTCCCAGGTTATCTAGGGTCCGATGCATAACAGTGGTCTGTTTTTCTGTCAGAGCAGTGGCAAGGTGATCTGGTTTGGGGGGAAGGGGAGAGATTTCAGTTTCTTTCCTATCAAGGTCAGATCACCTTCTGGCCATAAACTCCCAAACTGCCTCTGACCCCACACCCAGCAAAGGCAAATTAAAGTCCCCCAAGATGATAAGCCTGGGAAACTGCCAACTGGGCCATGGAGTCAAGGAGTTCAGGCAGGAAGGTTGCTATGCAGCAGAAAGCCTGATATAATACCTACAGTCCCAACTGGATTCTAGAGCCCAACCTAAGAAACAGGGTCTTGCACCCAGTAATCTATGGGTCAGTGTCTCTGGAAACCTTCCAATCTTGGATGACAACCACCACCCCACCAGCCCTACCCTAGTAGAGTTTCAGGCATGGCAGCAGCCAAGACCTTACCCT